ATACCATTTTGAATTATCAAAATTTAATATGTATAAAGGAAATTATGACCAATATATTTAACAGTGAGCAAGTTAGTTTTTTTAGTCTTCAAATTAAGAATATAGGCCCAAACAATACATTCATATGTTGTTTTCTTATTGATTTAAAGATTTTGAACAGCTTCTTTAAGCTTCCAACTCTTCCATTTAAAGGCCAAATGTACCTTAACCACAAAACACATCAAGTCCCATATTTTTCATGATAAATCATTAAAAGTTATACATGTTAGAGAAGTGAACTTAGGCTGTCTTGTGTTTTTGGTATTTCGCTTTCTTGTAAACTTGAACTAAATGATGGCAACAAACACTGATATTGTATTAGCTTAACTTAAGTTTTAAGTTATAAAGATTAGATAGATAGTTGTTGAAAAGTAAGTTGCATATTTTGTATAAATATCTTCTTTGTTGGAGTGAAATTAGGCTACATACTCTTCACTTAATATTCAGTTCTGCAAGCTTTTCTTTCCACTCTCATTTTTTCAATAATACATCAAGGGTAAGTGTTAATGTTGATTTAAAAACTAGGCCTAAAATAAAGGCTCGAATTGGCAAGAGCTCGAAAGTGAATATATGCTATAGATAGTGCAAGAGGGCAACTTGAGCCTAAAACCCATGGAATGTAAATATTGTATATGTATAAGGCATTTTTGGGTTTTATAGCTTTTATAGAAAGTGTACCCTTGCTTGGAGGGCACTCTTAGGATCCCTAAAAATAGGGAATGCTACTATTATAATAAACACATGAATCGGTATAAACTAGGGATGGAAGCAAGGCAGGTACCCGCAAATTTTGAACTATTTGTGTCCGTCCCAAATCCATTTAAATATTAATTTAAGTATCCGTATTTGAACCCATTTAAAATTTTATTACTAATATCCGTCCAAACCCCATGTAAAGGGTCAGGTATCCACCCATTTTAACTATCCAAACCCAAATTTATTTAAAATGTGTTTTTTGTTAATAAATAAGTAGGGTACCCGCCGATATCCATGGCCAAAATCATTTATTATAGCGGGTATCTAGAGTCTAATATCCATATCCTATCCGTTACGGGTAGTAATATGCACTACTCGTATCCATCCAAAATCTATTTATATCTATCCATACCTTCATTAAATGAATCAGAGCAGAGCAGGTATTCTAAAATACTCGCCTCACTTCTATCCCTAGTATAAATAAACATGTTTGCCTTATGCATTCAAATTAACTTGTGTTTCCATTTCTTTTTCAACCCTCTAAATTTTTTATATTTCTCTCGTGCCTCTCTCGTTTTTGCCTTTTTCTTTCCTGAACTCTTCTGATACTCATCTCCTTCTTTCGGGCCAAATATGTTGGGGCAGGGTTCGTCTATCTATCCTAAGGCATTGCCGATAGACGCAGGCTCAATAACCCATAACCAATTTACATCTAGCCCGAGAAATGCAATGGAGGAAACAGCCCAATTGACCTTGGAGGCCCTTACTTTCATCCTTATATACATCTGGCCTGAGAAATGCAAAGGAAGGCCTTATCCATGCACACCCAATCTTTTCATGCAAGATTTCTATGATTGTCCCGTGTTCAACATGCACCATTTCAATCATTGAACTTGCAAAGAGCTCATATCAAAGAATCACTGCATGTGTACTCCAATCACCTTCCAATAGAAGAAATATTGCAATTTCTTCCTCATATATTCCTTTCTTTCCCGCCCTCATCTACCCGCTAAATACACTATGGGGCAATAAAGTAAATGTACATCCAAATATTTTGGTCGAGCCACACACAACTTTTGCCAAATAACTTTCTCGAAAATACTTTTATAAAATGATAAAAAAAACTTATTTCATTTTTTAAACCAATCAATAAATTGTAAATTTTACAAAAAAAGGTAGCTTTCTTTTTAAATTTTATAAAAATACATATTCTTTTGTAACTCCATACATTTAGCAATTGGCTTCAAAATGTCCATCGCTAAATTATTTCATTGTACAAAAAATCAATCACATTTTACAAACATATAATCATTTTACAAATATAAATATAGTTGTTATTTTAAAATTCAATATATTTATTGATGGATTTAAAATTCCTGTAATTAAATTTTTTATTTCTCCATCAACATTCTAATAAATAAAATAAAATCTAAATTAATTGATATATGAAATATGCATACTCTCCCATACATTAATGCTTATATAGTTTTATTTCATTTGAGAAATTATTTCATTGTCAAGTTAATTCATTTTACTTATTTATTTATTTTTAACCAAATTTACATATTTCATTTTGCATTTTTACTAGTTTTATTGCCAACTTACTCATTTTTAAATTTCAACCAACTCTTAATAATTGAACAACATATCAAAATTAGCGCCATATGATATTAGCGGGAAAAGAAACCGCCCAAATTAAATAATAATTTTAACTTTTATGTGGTTCAAAACGATTCACGTGGCGTATGTTAGTTTTGTTTGTGTTAAGCTGACGGTGCAGCGCTTGGCGCTCGCTTCAATTTTTAATATCAAAATCTTTTTTTCTTTTTTTGGTGAAAAAAATTTCAAAATCTTTTCTGTGTCGTTATCTTATGATTCCACAAAAGATGTTGGGTTCCTTGGTTGACTTTATGTTAGAATTTCTTGAAAATTTGTTAAAGTTTATGGTGGAGCCTAAAGTTACTTTAGGCCGGTACAAATATGTGGCACTTGTACTTCCTATTTCTGCCTTTTTTTTTATTTAAAAAATAACTTAAATGCTTACTTTTTTTTTTCGAATAAATGTCAATTGCCCGTTAATTTCAGAGAAATATTCAGTGTACCCAAAAATTGATTTTTTTATAATTTATTCCTGAATTTGCATCAAAACAACAGAAAATTTAATTTATTACTCAAAATAATTTTAATTTAAACCAAAATATAATTAAAAGATAATGAAATCTTTAATTTGGATAAAATACAATTAAAAAAATAATAAATATTTTTAAACCAAATATTCATATAATCAAATATTTTTCTAATTCTATAATTTTTTTAAATCAGATATTTTATTTAATTATATTTTAAATCAAAGATAAGAAACTGTAATTTTTTATAATTGTTTTTATATTTTTAAATAATTTTTCTTTCCTAATTTTGAAGTTTTTAAGCAATTTTTATTAGTTAAAAATATTAAAAAATATTTTGTATAAAAAATTAAATTTTTATTCTTTTAATGCAAATTCATGGCTAAAGTTAAAAAAAAAAATTGATTTTTGGGCAAACTGGACATTGTTTCCAAGTTCAAAAGGCAAATTGAACTTTATTTCCTTTGTTTAATAATAGGTAGTCATTTCCAAGGCAAGCAAACTTCATTTCTAACTCAATAAACTATAGTCTTTACATCTCTATTATAGAGTCGGACATGGGAGTTTCTTTTCATCCAGCTAATTTAGTTTGACTTTTCTATTAAATCAGTTAGATTTGGTTTGAAAGTTAAAATATAAATCTTGATTTTTGATTTTGGTAATGGTTTTCTTGCAAATTATGGCACATGGAAACTGTTAATTATGGGCGTTCTCTGAATTTCAAAAATATTACCGCACGTCCGTTTCTCTGTTTAAAATACTGTTTTTCTGTATAAAATTATATTTTAAATTCATTTTCCTATATCTGTTTTATATTTTCTTGTTTCCGTTTCCATGCAACATAGCTTGCACAAATCCAAATAGACCAAAATAACTAAATTAATGTTTTATTGATATGGAATTTTAGTCTAAATTAGAAAATTAAATTAAACATATGTAATTTCAGTCAATTTTATTATATTTTTCTTTTCAGCTAAATCGGTTTCTTAAGGAAGATAAAAAGATTATTTTAGTTAGGTTTAATTTCTTTCCCAATAAACCAAATTATTTCAATTTAATTCAGTTCAACTATTCAATTTGGTTGAACCCAATGCTAGCCTCAAATTGCTGTCAGATATATAATTCTCATCTTCCTATTTTTACAATATAAGTACACTTCAAAAGTGGTCGATCCACTTTACAAAAAGGGTCAATTGACCCTTTTTTTTTTTTTTTTTTTAAATTCCCCTTATATATACATTTTTCGAAATTGAACTTTTAAAAATTAAGATTGAGGCCTTTTTATTATATTTTTTAAAAAATAAGATTGGGCCCTTTTTATTATATTTTATTAGACCCGTGACTGCAATTCAATCATATGAGAACACAACACAAGTCTTGAAAATAAGTTAAAAGCTCAGGTGGAGAATTGAGTGCTTTCACACATTTTGCATAAAGCTCAGTCATTACAGAAATTTGTTAGAGCAAATAGTAGATATATATATACATACAGAATCTTAGAAGATAAAGCCTTTTGCTAAATTGAAATATAAACAGACTGTTGATGTTGTTTCTCCACCAAAAAAAAAAAAAAAAATGAAAAAAAAAAATAAGTTAAATAGCTCAGTGTGAGAAATTGAAGTGCTTCAACACTATTTTGCATAAGCTCAGTCATTACAGAAAATTTGTTAGTAGCTTAATATAGTAGATATTATATATTACATACAGATTCTTAGAGATAAAGCCTTTTGCTAAATTTGAAATATAAAAGATGTTGATGTTGTTTTCTCCACCAAAAAAAAAAAAAAAATGAAAAAAAACATTATACATGAAGTATATGTTGGCAAAGGAGAACATTTTGATTTGGTTATTAAGTTTTACTGAAATCATGTATCAGAAAAAAACTAATATGGCTATTAAGTTTTAATCAACATCACAAAGAAAAAACATTTGTTTAATTTTTCCTGATGAATTGGTCTCCTAGAGCAAGAACTCGAATTCACTGTATTGAGCACTCTATGAATCCCATGTAGGCTTTCACAACAAATCAAGAAATTGGTAGCTCTACATAATTGGTAGAACATTTTTCCACTACTAAAAAAAAAAAAAAAATGAAAAAAAACATATACAGAGTATATGTGGCAAGGAGAACAATTTTGATTTGGTAGTAAGTTACTGAAATATGTACAAAAAACTATATGGCATTAGTAATCAAATCACAAAGAAAAACATTTGTTAATTTTCCTGATGATTGGTCCTCTAGAGCAAGAACTCGATCACTGTATTAGCACTCTATGAATCCATGTAGGCTTTCACAACATCAAGAATTGGAGCTCTACATATTGGACATTTTCCACTACTCCATTGCAGCTCATGTGCACATTTTAAACAGGTGCACATATGCCCACATCTGCAAAAATTGAAACAATTTTAAAAATTTCGGTAAAAATAGATTAATGAAGACTTGCTTGCACCTGGTGTATGGGTGGTCTCTTATATCAGGCCAATCCATAAAGGGTTTCTTTGAGAATAATTACCTATACAAAAACGAGTCAACCTGCACTTCGTAGCAAACGCAGCAATTGCGCCTCTTTTTTGTGATATCAATTGAATTCACAGTAGCTTCTGAATCTGTAAGTTAATGTATTATTAAAAATAAATCTCTATGGTCAATCATGTTGACAATTGTTATAAAGAAAACTTAGTTTTCTTAGTTTACCTGGATGTACTTCTTGCTTTAAGGACTTCATCAATGTCACTTGCATTTCCATGCAAGTTTGCATAGTTTTTTTGAGCTCTGACATTTCGCGATGGAGTTGTTCCATATGCCCTCTTAAATTGAATATTAGATCCATTTCCTGATAGTGCAATAATGTTGATTAGAGATCATGATGTATATATTTTTTTGACATGTTTTAGTCGTAAATGTTTCAGAATAAAATATCCAAATTGTTTTTCCTAACATTATCAACCTCAATGCCAAACAAACTCTAAATAGAAAATGAAGATCATAATGAAGAAAGAAAAACTTACAATTGATGGATCAGCTGCAGAAGAAAAGTGTTGCGTCTCCTGATTGGAACCTTGAAATGGCAGACCTTGCTCTGGGGGTGTAATTGAAACCAGTTCAGAATTATCAGCAACTTCATGATGATGACTATAATCCCATGATGTATATGGAGATGGAGAAACTGAGGGTAAACTTTCTTCTTCTGCTTCTTCTTCCTCTTCCTCTTCCTCTTCCTCTTCTTCAACAACTTCTCCTCCTCTTTGTACTTCATTTGCATCTTGATCTTCTTGTTCTTCTGTTGAGTGTGAATGCCTTTGGTAGTATGACAATACTAACTGCCCCATTCTCTGTTGACCTTCTGCATCAAGTTCTTCATCTTCTCGGTTGACTTGTCTTTGCACATGAGATGTCATTAATCGATCCATTCTCTCTCGGAATTCACTCGAAAGACAATTTGATACTGCTTTTCTGCGTAAGTATTTTGTAAAATTAGTATCCACATTTTGTTCAACTATTAATAAACCACAGAGTAATGTTATACCTTTCAAGTAGTTTCTTTATTTCATTGTTATCTGAGCTAGTAGTTAGCATTTCTTGATACCATGCTTGCCTTTTATCTTCCCAATAACTTCGCGGGCGAGCTATATCAGTAAACCAGTCATAATTAGTTCGGTCAGTCTCCTCTTCCTCATCCTCCATCACATTATCATTCCAATTATCCGATTCTAAAACCTCTCCTGCATCAAAATGGTCACTCTCCGAGTTTGTTCCTTGCCAAGTGACATCTGAACTAGCACTAGCTTCTTCATGAGCATCTTCTTCATAGACTTCACTTGACTGTGACAATGATTTATCCACAGCAGGTGTGCTTATTACAGTCTGCTCCTCAGTACATGGTTCATTCTTATTATCATCTGAAATCACATGGTTCAGGCTTGTCGAAGAAGAAGAAGAAGGATTCTCATTATTTACAATGCTATTAGCGTTCTCTTTAGAACTTGTGGGATTAACTATTGGATCAGTTATACTACTTGTCGCTTGGTCAGCAGCTGCAGGAAATCTCTCCCTGGATTTAATTTAATTCAAACTAGTGACTTAGCTAAGTTCATATATCAATCAATAATGTACCAAATCAAAGAAATTAGAAGCTGAGAATGTACTAAATTAGAATAATACCTCAAATGCATTTTGGTTGACCCGTGTTGTGATCTATTAGGATCACCACATGTTATGGTTCGAATGGGTTGTGATCGTTGTTGATTTTGAATCGCCAGGCAACGTTGCAAGCATCTTAGTCGAAGCATAGACTAGACATAAGGCATTACAAGTTAAAAGTACTTACATTTAAAGACTAAATTTCGTAGTCGTGATGAAATGTAATGTAATCGAATGCATTTTATTTTTTTGAGGAAAGAACTTTGTTTTACCTGAATACGACCACGTTGAGGGAATCTTGAGACAGATTGGCGCTCTGCAAGCGAGTAGAGCTCTCTTTGCCTTTCTTGCTCCATTTGTAAAAGCAAATCATTGAAGGCTTGTCTTCCTCTAATCTTTGGTGAATTTATAACATGTGGAAGAGCTTTTAGCTCTGCATGATCAGAGCCATAGGACAATCTACGCGAAGGAGGAGCATCACCCGCACTGGTATTTCCTTGCTCATGTTCATTATTATCAGATGTTAGTCTTTTAATAATGTCAGCAATTCTAACCCTCTCTTTCTCTCTGACATCTGAGCTCTTAATAGGCACAGAAGAAGTTGAACTCTGTGCTGCTGAGTCCCAATCCACTGTCTCCTCATTTGCGTTAGAGTCAATTACATCAGTCTGTCTTGGAAGTTCATTTGCAGCAGAATCAACTACGTCGGATTGTCGCGGTGGCTCTTCAACTGGGGATGATACAATTTCATTGTAACTAGATGTAGAACTTGTCCTGCTAGAGCTAATTGTCGAATTCTGACAATTTTTTGTAGTACTGGATTGATCTATTTTTGGCTCTGGCCTGTGTAGCCTTGCTTCCCACATCTGTACCAGCGAAGAGGCGCCAAGATTTGAACTTCCACATAAATTTTCAGATTGTGCTGCAGAATTAGGATTTTCCTTTGCAGAAATTCTCTCGGATTGTGCTGCAGAATTGTTAGTTGAATTAGGAATTTCCTTTGCAGAAATTCTTTCGGATTGTGCTGCAGAACTTTGAGCTGAATTAGGATTTTCCTTTGCATAAATTCTTTCGGATTGTGCTGCAGAATTTTGAGTTGAATTCTAGAGCTAATTGTCGAATTCTGACAATTTTTTGTAGTACTGGATTGATCTATTTTTGGCTCTGGCCTGTGTAGCCTTGCTTCCCACATCTGTACCAGCGAAGAGGCGCCAAGATTTGAACTTCCACATAAATTTTCAGATTGTGCTGCAGAATTAGGATTTTCCTTTGCAGAAATTCTCTCGGATTGTGCTGCAGAATTGTTAGTTGAATTAGGAATTTCCTTTGCAGAAATTCTTTCGGATTGTGCTGCAGAACTTTGAGCTGAATTAGGATTTTCCTTTGCATAAATTCTTTCGGATTGTGCTGCAGAATTTTGAGTTGAATTAGGATTTCCCTTTGCAGAAATTCTTCCAGATTGGGCTGCAGAATTTTGACTTGAATTAGAATTTTCCTTTGCAGAATTTCTTTCGGATTGTGCTGCAGAGTGTTGAGTTGAATTAGGATTTTCCCTTGCAGAATTTCTTGCGGATTGTGCTGCAGAATGTTGAGTTGCATTAGGATTTTCCTTTGCAGAAATTCCGTCGGATTGTGCCGCAGAATTTTGAGTTGAATTAGAACTTTCCTTTGCAGAGATTCTTTGGGATTGTGCTGCAGAATTTTGAGTTGAATTAGAATTTTCCTTTGCAGAAATTAAAATCTCTGCCTCTTCATTCTGCCTCTCAATTGTTGAAACCATTTCTTGAGCTTGTTTAGCAGCCCATCGATCAAGAATCTTCGCCTGCTTGCAACTCATAGTAGAAGAATCATCAATATTATTACTTTGATGATTGGTTAAACATCTTAGATGCGGACGATTATGATTATTGATATTATTATTACTGCTGTTGTTGTTCATATGATTTTCAGAATTCTCGTTAGCAGAAGAAACAGAGGAAACGGAGATGCAACTATGGAGATGGTCTCGAACCAATTCTTTAAGATTTTTTTGAAACGCAGCTTGAGCTTTGGCGTTGCTTTCTTTACTGTATCGATCACGCCTGTTATGGTCTTTCAAAACACAACCAAATGGTGAAGATGAAGCAATCTCAACTTGAGAAGATGCCATTTTCGTTGAAACAGGGGAACCTGAACAAGATTACTATTCAAAAATCAAGCTCTCCCCTTTGTGCAAGCCATTGAAAGTAGGAAAGACCCCATTTTCAAGTAAGAAAACAGAAAGAAAATTGGTGGGGAGGATTGTTAAAACAATTAACCACAAGAACTGTTCCACCTAATTAATTTCCTCCTTTGTAGAATCGAATTGAAAGCCGAAAACAGAGCAACGAAAACAGAGGAAGACAGAAAACTATTTCTTGCTTTAGGTAAAACCCACTTCTAATCTCCTATTTTTAGAACACTAAACATAACAAATCGACAGAGAACCAGAGGCCAAAATAATAAAAAACCAGAGCCTCTAATTGCCTTTAAATGGAATTATGATAACAAAGAAAAGGAGGGAGATGGTTGTTGGACAAACGGTTTTTTTTGTATGACTTCAAAGAAACGAACCAGGACAAATGTAAAGAAGCTTTATAACATTAAAGAATGGAGGGATTTTCCTGTTTGGCAGGAGAAAAGGGAGAGAGAGACGTTAGAGTTTTTAGCCGTTAAAGAACAGTGGGTTCCATAAGTTTGGCAGAGAAGAGCGTAACTACATGATTGGTAATATTATAGATAGGGGAAATCTGTTATAGATGCAGTGCGCACGTGCCACGTTTTTACAAGTCTTTAATTTTGCCTTTGATCTTTATTTTTTGGTATTCCACTTTCCCATGTTCAGTCTACGGGACTCTTTGCGCGACAACTTTTAAAATAAGGTTTTGATCAAGTTAAATTCAATCTCTATTAATTATTATCATTCGATGACATAATATTTACGATAATTTTTAGAGATAAAAGATAATTTTTTATTAAATATTAAACACTCTAAAGTTTGGTATTTCATAGGAATTAATTAAATTTTTGACAATTATATCTTTATTTTTTTTCCCCGAATTCAACTCATGAAATAATTAATACAAGTTTTTATAATTTTAAGTTAAAACAACTATTTTGTCAAACATTTCTAATTTAAATCTCTGAAAAAAACTAATAACTAACACCTTACAACAGCTAGTTATTAGTCATTGCGTCTGTTCGGTAACTATTAACAGCTACTATAATAGCTAGCAACTATAACTACTAATGATCTGTTCAGTAAAATTAATTGTTTTGATAGTTATTAGCCGTTTTAGTAGTTTTTCATATTGGTCCAAACACGAAAAGTTATTTTTTATAGTGTTCGGTAACATAGCATTTGAACTAGTTTTTAGGTTAAGGTAGCGTTTTATAAAAAGCTAACTCACGTAATATTTAACTTTTAACGTTTATAAAAAGTTAATAAAACAACTAACAGCTAAAATGCTATTAAAACAACTAATAACTACCAAAACAACTAATTTTATTAAACAAACCTAAAATAGCTAGTATTGCCAACAACTTGTAAAGTAGCTTTTAACATTTTGACTAGATTAAAACAATATTTTTATTAGTCACAGTGTTCGTTAAGGCAATCTATATAGTAGTTTTTAGAGGTGAATGAAGTGTTTAATGAAACGTTATCTGACTTGACATTTAGCGTTTCACAATAATTTTCTGACACTTATACCCATTACTTTCCTTACAAATTAATAAGTCCTACCTATAATGTAAAATCGTTCACTTTTGCTTTTTTTATCATTTTAAATTTAATAACTAATCAAACAATTATTTTTATCGAAAACTTTCGCTTTAAACTGCTATATAAATAGACAAGCAAACAATTAATATCTAACAACTAACAACTGGTAAAACAGCTAACAGCTCTTAAGCTTTATTCGGCAACAACTTTTGAGCTAGCTTTTAGCATTTTGACTAAGTCAAAACTCAATCTATTAATTGTAGAGTTCGTTAACATAGCTTTTACAATAGTTTTTAGAGGTTGAAGAAGCCTTTTATGAAATGTTAAATATTCTAACATATAGCTTCTAATGTTTAGCGTTTAAATTTTTGATTAAATTTTTTTTCAGTACCCATTGTTTTTTCTCCGAATTCAGCTAATTAAATAATTAATGTCTTTTCTTGTCATTTTAAGTTAAACAACTTTTTTTACTGTATACTTCTAATTTAAACCGCTATATAAATAACTATCAGTTAAAAGCTAATAGCTAGTAGTTAATGGCTACTACAATAATTAATAATTACTAAAAAACTAATATTGTCGAACAGACCCTTAAACCACCTAGTATTGTTGAACAGACCCTATGGCCAGTTAATTGACCAAATCAATAAAAATAATATTTTTTTAAATTATTCCTACTTTCTCACCTTTATTCCAATAAAAAATTATTTTTCATTGATTTAGTCCATGATTGGGCCCATAAACTCAGTCTGGACAAATCAATCTCTTATTTATTTTGAAATTGGATGAAATGATAGGACTATATTGAAATTAGAAATCTTCATTTAATTATTGTCTTACCTTATTGAGATTGATTTTAGGATATCATTTGCGTTTATTTTACACCCAAATTTGCTAATCTCTTCCCTAAGATGGTGTACCTTCCAATCTGAAGTTTTGATTTTTTTTTTTTTTAAATATGGTTGAATGATAAAAAGGAGTATCTATAAAGATGTGTTTTTTACACCCCTATATCTTGGTAAAGCATTTATAGAAGGTGCAATTCAAACCAGTAGCAAATCGGTCAAAAATTAAAGGTTAACATACAAGTAAAAATGAAATTTTACCATTCTTTTGAAAAAAAATTTTCCCAGGCTGGGTTTCCCCTATAAACTCAATACAAATGGAAACTTTTAAGGTGTAACGAGTATGTCTATACTATTTGACCCACATAAAATTCCCTGTTATGCATGTGTTAGGTATATGTTGATTTGGTGTGATAATACCCTTTAAGCCAAGCCACTTTATATGCTATTCATGTAAACCTTTAGGATATATGTAACATAACAACCTATGTAATTGTCATGAAAATTGCTTTTTTCCATGCATCCATCATGCAAATCACTTGTATGTAGACACTCTTTGGACCAAGAGTCTAGAGAACCTTTATGTATTCAAACCCAGAATCTTCAGTTGAGTACCCTACAAACAATCAAGCCTAGTAACCTAGACATGCACTTACCTACAAAACCCTATATCTTTCTATGCCTTTTCCCTTACATTGTGAGTTTGACACTTGTGTCTTTACCCCCTTTTGATGGAAACCATGTCTAAAACAGCTCGGAATGACCAATTGGATGCTATCAAGGAGCAGTTTGTCACTGACTAAAAATTAAAAAAACAAGAGGATACTTTCAAGTCTAGCATTGTTGAAAAAAGGAATACCATTTTTGAAGAGTTAGTTAATGTTATAGCCCAAGTCCTAAAACTCGACACTAGTAAGGCATCTTTTATTAACATAACTGGGACTGCCTCTGGTCAATCACCCCTAGGTCAAGCCAGCCCATCTTAGCCCAATCTATCCTAACCTGCTCCACCATTCTCTGGTCCACCCCCTCCTATTGCCCATGTAAGCCCTCCAACATCACACGTTCTAGACTCGAGCAATGAGATTAAGAAGATGATGTAGAAAAGAGAGGCTATGGAGAAGACTTTGCATGCCCTCAAAACTCATAAGGATTTTGTGTTAGATTATTTAATAATCTGTATGTGGCCCATGTGATTAAAGGGCTGATTCTAATTAAGGTGGCCCAAGATGATGGTTATTGGGCTTAATGGGTAGAAGAGAGGCTTCATGGAGAAAGACTTTGCATGCCCTCCAACAACTCATCAACGCGCATTTTTTGCCGTTACGACTTTACTTTACATAATCTGTAATCGCTGCCCACTGCTCCTGAATTAAAGGGCTGATTCTAAATAAGGTGGCCCAAGATGATGGTTACCTTCTGGCTTCACATGGATAAGAGCCCAGTTAGGGTTTTAATACCCTTCCTTTTTGTCTTGTAAAGTAAAAGAATCACACTTTAAGGTTAAAACAACAGAAATAGAAACACAAACTAGAGAGTGTGACCGACTGCCTCGAACATCATACGGTGATAAGCTTGTTTGAGAGAGCTCATAAAAAGTAACTCCGTAAGTTGTTGATTTATTCTCTGACGCAATTGAGAGAAAACTTTATAAGACAAAAGGCCAGAGGAAAGAAACGTAAGATCTGCTGTTACGGAGAGAATCGAATTGCCGTAATGGAGATACCCCAAGTAGATCTGCTGTTACGGAGAGAATCGAATTGCCGTAATGAGATAACCCATAACATAGATCTACTGTTATGGATCAAGGTACGCTTCCGATTATTGTATATTCCTATCAAATAAATTCTATGAACAATAGATCTGGGCTATATTAAAGATTATTTAACATTTTGTTCCCATGAGGCAAGGCTCTCTTCCAAATTCAAGATGTCATACTAGGAAAATTTTGATTGAACAACCTTTCCTAAGATGAACCTTAAGGTGTATGTTGGTGCCCTTAACCCTTATGTAGTAAGAAATGAGCTCCTTGCTTAGTTATTCCAATAACCCCTTATTGGTGTTGCCCTCAAATGGTTTGTAAGCCTTGCAAATCCTATAAGAGAATTGGGAGGAGGTCTACAATGCCTTCAACAATCAGTATCATTATAATATTGAAGTGGATATGTCTAGAAGATACTTTGAGACCACAAAACAAGACCCTAAAGAGCCCTTCTTCATGTTCATTACAAGGTGGTGGGCCAAAGCTGCTCAATAGGTAAATAGATAAAATGAGCAAGTGCATAAACATATGGTCATCAAGAACCTCCTCTTGGTTTATTAAAGCCATTTACAGACTCAATACCTCCCAAGTGTAACACCCACCATCAGGTCCCAAGAGACCAAATAACGGATGCCACATTCGGTGCTGGAGGCACCTTCCTAACTAACATATAAATCATATTATCAGGTTATGAATTAGAAATGATTTAGTATTCACAAGTTTAGCAAGTAATAATTTAATATTTTTTTTTTTGAAAATGATTTGGGAAAATCCTATAGAAAAACTGCGAGAGTTTCCCCTAAAAATTGAACTTGCAAAACATATGAATACAAAACACTCCCAAATTCAAACTCCAAACTCCAACAACTCCAAATCATCAACAGAACACAGCTAACAGTTCTATAACTTCATAACTATAGAATCTCTCATTAGTATCATAATAATCATTAACTAAATGCATTCATTTATATATATCAAATCCTAATATTCCAACCATGACAACTAACTTAGAAAATAATTTATATCCAATCATTAAATAAGTCTCATGCTTAACTCCAAATATATACACCAAAATAATTTATAACATCATGCTTAAGTTATATAACTCGAATAACATAATCTCCAAATAGATAATAATTATACATGCCATAATTCTTAATTACAACATAATTCCAAAATAGATAATAATTATACATGCCCATAATTCTTAATTAACATAAAACTAAATTACTACAACGCAATATAGTCTCTTCTCTCATGATGCTACTCTTCTAAAGTTTTCGAGCAGCAACCCCGTCCTTTCAAACCTGCGTTGCGATAATCAACAGCTTTCTGAGGTATGAAACTCGA